GGAGTTCCGGCCGCCTTCCTGGGCTTAGTCCTGCAGGTTGCCCCGTATATTGGGCGATAGCGCCTGTGGAAGAATAAGGCTTAGTGACTTGCTGGTCCGCTGTTGTTGTTCATTTATTCATTCTAGTTACATTTTTAAGTATAGAGCTGGGCAAAAGAGAGACACATGGCCACATATGCATATCAGCAAGCTTTAAAGGAATCCTTCACGGAAAAATCATGATTCTATTTCAGCCATAAATCACTGGCTTGAGACTCATTATCCACGATAAGAATGAAAAGAACAGAAATATTGCTTTTGTTTTGGTAAAAATTCGAAAAATCGAAAGGGCTGCTACGCGTTCAAAGTGCCCACGGACGTCTTTCACAAATGCTGGCGACGGGGATGCTTCCACTTGGTTCTTGGAGTGCCTTCACTAGAAACTCTTTCTGGCCTTCTGACTTATTGCATTCACATCTCACACTTCTACTCCATCCTATTCTATCGATCGATTTGTCTCTACTCTCCAAAATCGCGCGCTTTAACCCGATTCTTTCATTGCGTCGCCTGATACGTAGCCGCCCAAGGCGGACTTCTTTCCATGCCCCGCCTTTGGCTCCGCCCCATTACCTTCGATTGTCCATAGAGTGTAGTTTTTGTACGTTTGTTTCTCTTCGGAAACCGAATCTTCATGCGTGAAACTTTGTGTGCTATTTCCAGTGATCACAACTGACACATTCATGTTGAGAAAGAATGCAAGAATTTTCCGCGAAGGATTCCTTTAAATTTGAAGTTTCTCCTTTTTGGCCATCCTGTAGATGAGAATGGATGTGAACTGTAGAGCGGAATGTGCTGATGTGATCCGAGCAAGTCAGTTTGTGGGATGCTTGATACGACAAAGCGGTCGCGTCTGTAAGGGGAAAGCGCTAAAGTATCTTACCTGACAGTCACCGTACTCTGGAGTGAAGCAATGCGCGTCCTCCCTTCACTGGCGATGGCAGCGCAATAACATTTCGGTAACCGGGCGACTTAGAGTGAGCATCACGTTGCTAGGATTCTTATTCAAAGAAAGTGTAACAGGGCCGTTTGAAAAGTGGCTCCAATGTATTGAAGATCTATTATTACACTCATGTCCTGCGGAGGACATTTGTCAAGGGATTCCTATGGTCGTTATAAATGTTGGTGTTCTCAAGGCAAAAATATTAGTTTGTCGGTAAGTAGTATACTTTTTTTCGAGGAAAATTTTCCTACAAGATCTAATGTTGTCACTAATCTCATAACCTACTTCAAAAGAAAACTGCTTGTCCTACGTACTCATTTTATTGTCCAGAACGATTCTTTCGCAGACGAAAAGCTCCAGAGAGCTATGGAAGAGTTTTATAGAACACTAATACATCAAAGTAGCGTTGGCAAGTGTTGATAAATCATCCGACAATAGTCGTATCGGGTTCTGCCACAAATACAATCCCAATTTCATTACTAACAACTTCCATTTCCTTTCTGATATTTCCACTCACTTTGACATCTCATCGGAGGGTTTGGAGCAGGGTCAACCGTCCGTTCGAACTGTTCGAACGAAGGGGTCGCATTTTGGTCGGAAGGGGGTCGCAATTTCGAGGACTGCCAGCCACAGGCGCGTGCGTGGCGTATCCGAGGGCAAGAATTGTTTGTGCAGACCGCATTAGATTCGATTATTATGCACAGAGAGACAGTTTTAGGCAAATTACGGTGTTTTCCTTGAGGAATAAAGAACAGTTGAATGCATCCCTATGAAAGGTTTGACTTCTCGGGGCTGAAATTAAAGTTCTTCGGGACCTAATTTTCTGAGGACGATTCTTCCAGACAACGGTAAAACACATAAGAAAGCAGAAATCTCGTAGTCTTCAAAAATGTCTTCGCCCCTCCCCAACAAGCTCTTTGAAGGAAGTTATTATTGCTGAAAGCTCAAAAACTCGCATGTGCTGCTCAAAAACCTATGGGAACAAAATGTTCGAACGTGTGATTTTCTCGGAAAATGGATTTTGAAAAACGGTTTGGTGCTTGTTAGAAAGAGCAAATCCTGTACTTTCACCCCATGAAAAAGTGCATCACAGAAATGAAAATGAAGTGAGTTATGGTCGCTGAAAGCCCAAAAACTCGCTTTTGCACGAAAAATGTTCGAACGGGACAATTTTTTGAAAAAGGACAATCACTAAACTTTTTATACTGTTTTGTTAGAGAAAATATTTGAAGTTTCTGAAACTTTTTACAGATTTCCAAAATGTCGCATACGAAAGATTTTATGGGCCTTCAAAGTTGAAGGTGCGCCTTCTTAGAATTTTGGGTTTTCCACTTCTGCCGATGTCATAGTTTGCGAATCGAGCGATTCGCTAGCGAATCGCTCGATCCGAGCGTTGCGCCAGCGAATCGAACGTTGCACCAGCGAATCGAACTTTGCGCCAGCGAGTCGAACGATGTACCAGCGAGTCGAACTAGGTACCAGCGACTCAATAGTGGGGACCCACGTTTAAAGGAAGCCGCCACCTTTTCAAACAGTGTCACGTGACAGTGGACGCTGTTTTTAAAGGGGGGGACTTTTGCAGTGGACCTGTTTTGAAGTGGCGGGCTTCCTTTAAACGTTGGGTCCCGCCACTATTGAGTCGCTGGTACCTAGTTCGACTCGCTGGTACATCGTTCGACTCGCTGGCGCAAAGTTCGATTCGCTGGTGCAACGTTCGATTCGCTGGCGCAACGCTCGGATCCAGCGATTCGCTAGCGAATCGCTCGATTCGCAAACTATGACATCGGCCTACAGAAGTACTTTCCGGAGAGTTAGGCAATCCTTGTAGTTTTCTGGAAGCGCACCTCAGGCACAATCAAAATCTACCTCAACAAGTCAAAAAATACGTCCCAAGAAAGTTATTCCCCTCTAAAATTTTTTCTTCGCCGCGTCCCGTTCTTCCAGCGCCCGGGTGATACCTGCCGCGCTCCAAGGCCGACGCGACGACGCGCAGACGCTTTCTGGCGCAACGGATTCATGTCTAGCACTCTTATTAACAAAAACAGGGGGTCGCAACTGGACCCCCTCGAGAGCTAGGGGGTCGCAAAAATCCCGAAAATGTTCGAACGTGACGGTTGACCCTGGTTTTGAGTCGTTGTTTCACAAACGTGAAACTGAAGAAGCTCAAAGCGTCGTTTTGAAAGGTTTAAGAATTTCCGATCTCTGCGAAGGATAATGATAAACCACTGCTATGACCGTAGCTGTCCTTGTATCTCCCCCCCGCCTACGGCTTCCGTTTAATGACAGAGGCCACAAACTACGACACCTTTACTTTTTCGATAAGGACGAGGTCTGAAGAATACGCTAGCCGATCTATCGATCAAAATCGTTGCATTTAGCATTTTTCCAAAAAGTAGATGTCAGGGACCTCCCTTCGGGCTTGCTGCAAAACAAGTGTTTCGCGACGGTGACTTTTCGAAAAAGGTTGTAGCCGGGATTCAAGCACCTCATTATAATCCTAGTTGTCTACCTGACATGTTGGCAAGCCAAACTCAATTTCCCCTCCTTTTGGAACCACCCCAGACCTTTGATGAACATCTTCCGAATTGTCTCTTCGAGCACATCTGCGGGTCCGACCAAAGGTCTCTCCAAAAACAACCGAGACGATAAGCAAAAGATGAGCCCCCTTTCCGCCAGTCGAGGTGATTTGAGAAGGAAAATTCCCACAGAGTCTTTTATGATAATCTTACTATCGGCGCTAGCGTAGTTGAGAGGGTGCCACGGCGACGCGGCGTCTGTTCGTCTGTGCTTTCCAAGGGTTAGTCCTAAGGGGTCACCGTATTTCAAAACTGCGTCGCGGCGGCGATTGAAACGTCCCACTCAGGAATAGGCTTTGGAGAGCGCAGACGAACAGACGCCGCGCCGCGTGGCCCCTCATCTTCGCTAGCACCTTACCATCTCCACAAAAGCGCTGTCTGTTCAGGTGTTCGACGTTCCATGTTGTGGTTAGGTTCTTGAGTCGGAATTCCAACCTTTCCAACTTGTGCTAGGCATCCATTCCCGAGCTTTCTTCATTTTCCATTGTACCGCTCTCATTCGATCGAATGGGACGCTAACTGCTCATTTTTAAAAACGGGAAGTTCATTTAAACGCGAAGTGTGAACAGCCAGATAAAGAATTTTTGACACATTCATGGCTATTCGGTTTCTGTCTGAATAAGGGACGATCTCCGACCGCGGACCTTTCAGCTCGCATTTCGGAAACAATTATTAGGTTTTTCATTCATTTTCTTTTCCATTTTATCCGATAAGATTTCTTCTGCATTATACAGTGGGTTCTTCTTTTGAATTTGCTAGATAAGATCCCTAAAAATTTCACCGAAGTCCCCGCGCGGCCGCGGAACGTAAAACACGCGCGGTCTCCAAAGTGTTAATCATTATCGAGAGCCTAGCATAAGGATTCTGGGTCTCTTCTCCAACACACGAAGCCGCACGGCCAAGTTGACGTACGGTTTTGCAATTGGATGGTTCAGCTACATATGAGAACTTCATATCTGTGCTTTGTCTTCTTCTTTAGAAAGGGAAGAGGAATTAAGGCAGGACAAGCCAAAAAAGGAAAAAAAATTGGGTAGGAAGTCGGCTCAGAAACTTCATCTGCCTCAGGGTGTCCACATAATTTTGATACAAAGAAAAAACTTTCCATGAAAAATAGTTCGCTAAGTTAGAACGAAATCTTTTGCCGAGAATGTCATTGTAGGTTATCGACCACTAGGAGTTGAATGGTGAAGGTTTCATGACAAAAGCCTTCTAGCTGACCCCTTAGAATTGATTCTTGGTTGTCCACATACTTTTGGTAGGGTGCGGGACTTTTGGTGCGTCCGGGGTTGAGTCCGTCGCCCCTTTTGGTACGCACTATATTAAACGAGGATCAGAACTTTTGGGACTGTTTACCTTCTACAGTCCCACTCTCGATGTTGAGCTAAATTTTCTTCAAAACTTGTAATTGTATTCAGCAAGTGTCTTAGCGCTGAACACTTTTTCAGGAGCATAACGGAGTTGCGAACATGTGGGTTCGGTTTGCAATGCGTCTAGCAGCGAAGTGGGCTGCTGGAGATATGGGAGAAACCATCGTGGACAATGGTATGGTAGGGAGATTCTCGTGAACGTCTTCAAGTGTTTCATTCAGTCGTACGCTCCCTCGCTACGCTGCAGTATCATCCTGATATGGCGCATGACGCAACCTGTCAGTTTATGGAGGATTACAAGACATTCTGCAAGAGTTCTGTTGTCAGTGATGATATTTTCAAACGGTAAGTCGAACGTTTATTGTATTTGCATCTTACTTCTCATTGACACGAGGGCATGTTAAGGACCCTGCATCAGAAATGGTCATTTCATGTCCCCCTCCCTTCCTCTCGTCCGCCTCCTTCCCCTCCCCTCCTTCGCTCCTCCCTCTACCACCCCGCTTTCTTACCCTCCTACAGCTGCCACTGCAGCACCATCTGGAATGAGGCTGACTGTGCTCGATTTCTGTTTATATAGCCGCTGTGGGTGCTATCACAATCACAACATCAGAATAGTACAGACGTCATCAAATATGCGACCTTAGCTGTCAAAAAGTTTTCTCCCTCACTCTCCTCCCTCACCTCTCCCCTCTAATGCCTCTTCTCTCAAGCGCATGGCAGCACCATGTTCTCCCCCTTCTTCCTCTCCGCCTTCCCTCTTTCTCTCCTTCCCCCCCCCCCAGCTTCGATCAAAGTAAGCTGAGAAGAACCTAAGAGTCGCTCAGTGCAAAACTGATAGCGGTAGTAGCTACACTTAAGGGGTCCGTCCTATCTGGCGCTTTTTTTCCCGGCCCAGAAATCCTAACCCTAGCCTTGTGTCTAAGAAATTGCTTGAATGACGTGAGATCATTGTTTCGAATATTCTCATTGAATGATCTTCAAACTTCTTACGTTTTTAAATTTCTTTCGGATTTTGAATGATTTCAGGCTACTCAAAGTGGCTTGGGTGAACAGTTTTTCTCTGGTAACTGACTTTGGTACACCCATCGGCGTCGCACTCTGTATTCGACTCAGTGTTGTGGGTCATTCATGTAAACCGAACATGACTTGTGTATTTCGGTGAGTCTTCCACCTGATGGACTCGATTGTATACTGCATATTGAAGACAGATGGTACAGTAAAATGGTCGTCCGTTTCAAGTAATAGCAGAGATGATCGCTGGTACAGCGGTAAAGGAAAACTGGGAAAAATGGCCTAGAACCCGAGTGTTGGGACTCCTTTTCGTCCCTTGTTTTCCGATTTGGACGAGCCAGCGACCAGGGGCCGTATGCAACAAGCCCCGAAGGTCTTCGGGGATATATCCCCGAAGTCGTATGCAACAAGCCCCGACGGTCGTCGGGGACATATCCCCGAAGTCGTATGCAACAAGCCCCGACGATCGTCGGGGACATATCCCCGAAGTCGTATGCAACAAGCCCCGACGATCGTCGGGGACATATCCCCGAAGTCGTATGCAACAAGCCCCGACGATCGTCGGGGACATATCCCCGAAGTCGTATGCAACAAGCCCCGACGATCGTCGGGGACATATCCCCGAAGTCGTATGCAACAAGCCCCGACGATCGTCGGGGACATATCCCCGACGACCTTCGGGGCTTGTTGCATAGGGTCGTCGGGGAGGATTCGTCGGGGATGAATCCCCCTAGTCTCGACTAGGGGATTCATCCCCGACGGCCTCCAAACGTACGTGTTACTTGAGCTAACTCAGTGGTCAGTCAGTTGGACTGTCGACGCGTAAGGCTGCTTTCATAGTCTGCGATCCGTGCCGTTCCCGGGCCGGACGTAAGCAAACCAGCCCTTTTGGCGCTTCGGCTGGGACCGTATGCTGAATGTTGGGGAGGGGATGGAGTCCCCGACGGTGGACGGACCACTTCAACTCGGTCCTTAGAACCGCCACAATTTGGTGCTTACCTCAGAACTAAGCCTTAAAGAGAGGACGGGTCCGTCCCCTCTCCTAGGCTTAGTCCAAGGGTGAGCAGACCGGTCCTTCTGGCGAAGCTACTGGACCAGCTGCACCACTTGCGTCAGTACTCTCCTATCGTACCAACCGAGTTGAAGTAAACCGTCGACCGTTGGGGACCCCATCCCCTCCCCAACATTCAGCATACGGTCCCAGCCGATGTGCCAAAAGGGCTGGTTTGCTTACGTCTCGCGCCGTCCGCGCCCATGCGGACCGCTCGGACAGGGTGAAAAACGTCAACACGCGCTCTGGCGCACAATTGCGTGCTTAGCACGCAGTCGGCGCCTCCCTCGATCGATACCTCGATTTCGGTGCATTTCGTGCATTTTTCAATGTTTGTGAATATGTGGTGCGTTCATTCATGTTTTTTAGTTGAGACTTCTTCATTCTTGCCTTAGTCGATATGTTTCGGTAAGTCGGTAAGTTAATCAGTGCGCTTTGCTGATTGTTCAAATGAACTATCTTTCTAGAGCTCGCTTTTTCGCTGATAACGTCTGCGCGTGCCGCAGGGTAAGGGAACTGAGTGATTTCTCATCAATATCGCATCACATATTCACAAACATTGAAAAATGCACCGAAATCGAGTTATCGATCGAGGGAGGCGCCAAGTGCGTGCTAAGTACGCAATGTGCGCCAGAGCGCATGTTGACGTTTTTCACCCTGTCCGAGCGGTCGCGACGGACCGCACGGACGGCGCGGACGGCGCGGACGGCACGGATCGCAGACTATGAAACAAGGCTGCTTATGAAATGAATCCATTTCGCTGGGTTCAGGAAATTGTGAGAAAGCAATTAATATATTTGATACTGTAACTATTCTTGCTTTAATGGGAACTTCTGAGGACATCAAGACGCGTTGTTTGGGGTTTTTCTGTTGCTGCAAGTTGGTAGCTTCAAATTCAAACCTGCCATAGAAATTTTTCCATGTGATTTCTCGGGAGGGGTATTGTTAAATAACTCCTTGAGAATTTCCCTATTCCACAGTAACTTCTTTTTTCAGAGGCCTGCGGCCGTGAGATTGCTGGTTCAAGATTTTCGTCAAAACAAACACTGCTAACTATACCGTATTCGGAAGGTCACTGTATTTCATCATGTCACATGACCGCGACCACCACATGAGGACATCATTGCTTGCGAAATCCTTGGAAGGATCCCAGTCCCGAGTTCCTTATTCTCCCCACACTCGTCCCGAGTTCCACATTCTCCCCACACTCGCTGGTCACTAGTCGTTCGTTTCATTTCAGAAATCGCGCTCACTTATGTCTTCTGAGGCCGAACTCTTCAAAGAAGAGGCTTTTTGCTATTCACTTGATGAGAAAAATGTGCGGTTTGGATCTTTTATGTTCATGTTCTAAGGTCAGACTTTTGTTCATTGGTCACTTTCAGCTTCATCTTTTTTGCCATGGGTGCCTCAAAGCGCAGCCAGACCTGAAAAAGTGTAAAGGTTGCCTACTTTTCTACTACTGCTCGCGAATTGTCAGAAGAAGGATTGGCCTTTGCATAAGAACGAATGCGTATCGTGCAAGGTTTGTACGAATTTTATGTTGTGCTCTTGCTTAGGTTACATCTAACCATGAGAATAGAGAAGTTGTCTAGCACTACAGCGCGTACCAAAACTATGAGGACACCCTTGAAATTTTCCATTCTCTTGAAAACTGTTGACCGCTGCATCCATTCAATTTCTCGTATGCGAAAACCTTATCAGTTCTCATTTCTCACCAATTTACATACAGCTTAATTTTTCAATCGTAGGAAAAACCTTGAATTGCTTTACCCCTGTAACAAAAGTATTTGGACTCTTCTTAAAAGACGGCTATATTTTCGGAATCTAAAATCCAAAAGCCTACTAAAGATCCTAATAAGTTGAGATATTGTTTCACAAGAATGCTGGGTTGTGAACAAAACTTTCGCCCCAGGCGGGACTAGAACCCGCACCTCTCGCTTTCCGGGCAAGTGCGCTACCAGTTACGCTACCGGGGCATTTCATTCCAACTCAGCTTTTCATGGTATACTAATATTAATTAAGATATTCTATTTAGCATGCTCTGAACCAGGCTGTCGATACCTGCCTTGTCGATCTGTTCCCAACCCGTTCTGTTTGCTATTATTACCAACTTGTTAGGTCCCTTGTGATCTTACTCTTCCGTTTAATGACAGAGGCCACAAACTACGACACCTTTACTTTTTCGATAAGGACGAGGTCTGAAGAATACGCTAGCCGATCTATCGATCAAAATCGTTGCATTTAGCATTTTTCCAAATGGAATGGTGTCAGGGACCTCGGGCTTGCAAAACAAGTGATTTGCGACGATGACTTTTCGAAAAAGGTTGTAGCCGGGACTCAAGCACCTCATTATAATCCTAGTTGTCTACCTGACATGTTGGCAAGCCAAACTTCAATGTCCCTCCTTTTGGAACCACCCCAGACCTTTGATGAACATCTTCCGAATTGTCTCTTCGAGCACATCTGCGGGTCCGACCAAAGTCTCCAAAAACAAGAGACGATAAGCAAAAGATGAGCCCCCTTTCCGCCAGTCGAGGTGATTTGAGAAGGAAAATTCCCACAGAGTCTTTTATGATAATCTTACTATCGGCGCTAGCGTAGTTGAGAGGGTGCCACGGCGACGCGGCGTCTGTTCGTCTGTGCTTTCCAAGGGTTAGTCCTAAGGGGTCACCGTATTTCAAAACTGCGTCGCGGCGGCGATTGAAACGTCCCACTCAGGAATAGGCTTTGGAGAGCGCAGACGAACAGACGCCGCGCCGCGTGGCCCCTCATCTTCGCTAGCACCTTACCATCTCCACAAAAGCGCTGTCTGTTCAGGTGTTCGACGTTCCATGTTGTGGTTAGGTTCTTGAGTCGGAATTCCAACCTTTCCAACTTGTGCTAGGCATCCATTCCCGAGCTTTCTTCATTTTCCATTGTACCGCTCTCATTCGATCGAATGGGACGCTAACTGCTCATTTTTAAAAACGGGAAGTTCATTTAAACGCGAAGTGTGAACAGCCAGATAAAGAATTTTTGACACATTCATGGCTATTCGGTTTCTGTCTGAATAAGGGACGATCTCCGACCGCGGACCTTTCAGCTCGCATTTCGGAAACAATTATTAGGTTTTTCATTCATTTTCTTTTCCATTTTATCCGATAAGATTTCTTCTGCATTATACAGTGGGTTCTTCTTTTGAATTTGCTAGATAAGATCCCTAAAAATTTCACCGAAGTCCCCGCGCGGCCGCGGAACGTAAAACACGCGCGGTCTCCAAAGTGTTAATCATTATCGAGAGCCTAGCATAAGGATTCTGGGTCTCTTCTCCAACACACGAAGCCGCACGGCCAAGTTGACGTACGGTTTTGCAATTGGATGGTTCAGCTACATATGAGAACTTCATATCTGTGCTTTGTCTTCTTCTTTAGAAAGGGAAGAGGAATTAAGGCAGGACAAGCCAAAAAAGGAAAAAAAATTGGGTAGGAAGTCGATGCAAAAACTTCATCTGCCTCAGGGTGTCCACATAATTTTGATACAAAGAAAAAACTTTCCATGAAAAATAGTTCGCTAAGTTAGAACGAAATCTTTTGCCGAAAATGTCATTGTAGGTTATCGACCACTAGGAGTTGAATGGTGAAGGTTTCATGACATAAAAGCCTTTAGCTGACCCCTGAGAATCGATTCTTGGTTGTCCACATACTTTTGGTAGGGTGCGGGACTTTTGGTGCGTCCGGGGTTGAGTCCGTCGCCCCTTTTGGTACGCACTATATTAAACGAGAATCAGAATTTTGGGACTGTTTACCTTCTACAGTCCCACTCTCGATGTTGAGCTAAATTTTCTTCAAAACTTGTAATTGTATTCAGCAAGTATCTTAGCGCTGAACACTTTTTCAGGAGAATAACGGAGTTGCGAACATGTGGGTTCGGTTTGCAATGCGCCTAGCAGCGAAGTGGGCAGCTGGAGACATGGGAGAAACCACCGTGGACAATGGTATGGTAGGGAGATTCTGTGAACGTCTTCAAGTGTTTCATTTCAGTCGTACGCTCCCTCGCTACGCTGCAGTATCATCCTGATATGGCGGAAGACGCAACCTGTCAGTTTATGGTTGATT